TCGCTCGGGCAATACTTTTACTTTTTAGTGACCTGGAAATTTGCATTTCAAAAAGGCAGGAAAATTTGATGGAGACTCAAACTTTTGATGCAAAAACGCATGATCGCACCGGCTCGCCTGGTGCGTTCCAGCCTGGGTTTTAAATGGGAAAATGATGCAAAAACTCATGATCGCACCGGCTCGCCTGGGGCGTTCCAACCTGGGTTTGTGCTTGGCATATGCAAATGTTGTGGTGGCCGGGGGGGAGGGGCGGGCGCCTTCTGTGATTGTTCTGGGAGGATACCGAAGTGTTTTGTGGAGGATAGGAATAGCGTTGTCTTCCTTAGAACAGCCATAATACCGGCCTCCCAAGAACAGCTGAGCAATCCACATCTCGGAACAACTACGGGGTCCACTTTATAGAACAGTATTTGAATTGAAAAGGCTATTTCACAGCTGTTCTGGGGTGGATACTCGTCGGCGGATCCGAGGGGAGAGGGCGAAGGGTCTTTCGCCCTTAGAAGCTCAGGTAGCAGCTATTTTACCGGTTTTTTGCATGAAGTTCGGTCGTCTTTTCGGTAAATGCTCGCTTTGTAAAAAATAACAAATGCAAATTTTTTGAAAAAATGCAAATTTCCAGTTCACTAAAAAGTGGAAATTTTGTTCAAGCTGTCGTTTGTCAAAAAATCCACGTATGCAAATTAACTAATGTTCATTTACAAATATGATTGCGATTTGGGTTCAGACTGCTAACGATTTGTGGGTTGAGAAGCTGCTTGAGGCTGTGGTTGGGAGCTAGAGGGCTGAGTTTAAAACCTTTGCCTCATACGTGCATAGAGAATATCCCTGCAAAGTTTCAGCTTTCTACCCTTGCCTGGTTCGTGAAGTCGTTTCCCGCCAACATATTTTTTTGGAGGCATGTACCCCTGGGTCTAGGCATGTATGGGGAAAGATCTTAAAACGGGAGGATGACAAAAGGGGTAGGAACGTATACCCGAAGTTTCAGCCTCCCAGCCTTCCTGGATGCTGAGATGAAAGTAGGTGACAGAATGCACTCGCTTTCGAACACACACACACACACACACACAGCCTCTCGACAATATGCGTTTTTGCTGGCTGTGGCAACGTTATAGAGCTACGCAGCAAAAACGCACAAAAAGGAAAAATTACCTCGTAGGGATGATGTACCGGGTGCTGTGACGCTATTTTCGGCCCATCATTACATACCAGAGCCCTTAAGCTAGGACGCTCATCTGGCACTGCTGGATCATTTTTTGGCTGCCGGAAGCCACCGTATATCATAGCGAATGGTGATGATTGTGGGTAATAGATGTGTCCGGCTTGAGCTAAGTATGAATTGTTTTGATGGCCTGAACCTTTCATTTTTGGCACCGGTGGCCGATGATGAGCTTGCTGGCCATGAGTTCCTGATGGTGATTTTCTGCGCCCTTTTAGCCTTATTGGCTCTTTGTTGAGCCGATTATTGAGATTCTGCACTTCATTGTCCCGTTGTGCATCTTGGATTTCTGTTACGGCAAATTTTTTCGGTGAATTAGCTACTGCTTTTCCAAAATCGTTTTTGTTTGGATTTTCAATGACTGCAGGCTGAAAATTTTGAAAGGATTTGTTAAGTTTACACATCCAAACATCAGGAGTACAGCAAAACTGTGTGACTAACATTGCTGGTGCCCCAGTTTTGATCATAACGACCCAGAGATTACGTTTCATCCAGCAATTTAGGCAAGAAAAGAAATGGTCATTCAAATGTCCAGCAAAGGGAATCTTCTACTGGTTGCAACCAGCGGACCAGAACAGAAAAGGCTGTGCTTGTTGCAAAACCATGTTACAAAGAATTCCAGTGTGAAATTTTAGTGGTGCACACAATCTGACAGACCGTACCTGTAGTGCAGTGTTCAATAGTGGAGATGCTGGTAACACACTGCTGTTCGTTGGCCATAGGCCGCTAACGTGAGGTACACCACGATGTGATGGCGCCATCTGTTGCTGCTGCTGCGGAACTGCAGCTCGTAGTTCTGCTTCTGCTACAGCTAATCGGTATCGTTCAAGCACAGAAGAGATCAGGTCCGGTGACGAACAAGTACTCAGCAAATCCGGGCTACTTAGTGCATGACCAGGACATGGCTGCAACTTATTGTTTCTTTTGCTGAACAGTTTTTTCAGTTTATCAATTCAGTCACTGCATGACCAGGACATGGCTGCAACTTATTGTTTCTTTTGCTGAACAGTTTTTTCAGTTTATCAATTCAGTCACTTATCAATTGCTTTTTATGCGTTTTGTACTGCAGTAGTTGCAAAATACCCTAGGTATGTGTGTACTTCGAGTGCATTTTATCCGGGGATTTCAACTCAGGCATCAATGAAGCGAGGAAGCTGAAATTTTAGAGGAGATCCCTAACCACGTGTGATTTCGCAATCTCAAACTCAGCGTCTGCATGCGTCTGGACTTATAGTCACGTGATGGCTTGAGCCCTAAATTAATAACTCCGAAACCACAAAAGCTAATGGACTGAAATTTTAGGATAATGCTCCTTGTCCACATATAAATTCATTCCCTACGCACGCTTGAGTCTCAGGCACGGGCACATGAAAATTATTAATTCGGGAACCAGAAAAGCTAAGAAGCTGAAGTATTGGGAGAATGTCCCTGCCTTCATATGGCTCCGTAAACTTGATTTCAGTCTCCCCTCCACCGCACATGTCTAGATCTTATGCAAGGGCACGTGGAATTTTTAGCGCCAAAGTTAAAAATTTAGGAACCCCAGAAGCCAGGTGGCCGAAATTTTTGGATAATGCTCCGTGTTCGCGTATAAATCCATCCCCACCCATGCCTAGGTATCAAGTACGGAGAGTGAAGATTTTGGCGCAAAAATTATTAACTCAGGGAACCACAATAAAAATTTGGGAGAATGTTTCTTGCTTGCATATGACCTCGTAAAGTTAAACTCAGCCTTCGCATATGCCCAGGTTTCACGTACGAACACATAAAATTTTTGGCACGGAAATTATTAACTCGAGAACCAAGCAATCTAGAAAGTTGAAAATTTACATAGATATTCCTCGCCCATTTGTGACCTAGAGTTCCTCCTCACGTACGAACGCGTGGAATTTTGACCTGATTCCACAGTTAAGGCAAAATCTTCGCAACAATTTGTGGCAACGTCGTAGGCAGTCTCAAAAGCCCCTAGCCCTTCCCCAGCCCGGTAATTCCCCTCCCCGCTCCAAAATCCTCTCGCCCGCGGACGCTCTATCTTCTCCTCCTTCCATCCCCCAAACTTCCTCTCAGCCCTCAAACCCCCTTCCCTTCCGGTCGCCCAACTCTAGCTTCAACCCCAATCTTCCAGCCACAACCCAATCTTCCGGCCTCAACCCCGACCCTCATTTCCCACCTCTCCTCCCTTCCCATCTCCCAACTTTGACAAGTCACAATCCGCCTATGCGAGAGGAATTCACAAACGACACCGCTGTCGCGACACGTAGATTGCCAAGCGGTCAGCCCGATGTTGCAACGTGACGATAGTTGTCAGAGACTCGCCTTCGTCCATCACCATGCAATTGTGATTTTTTCATTGCTGCTTGGAACAATGATCTGGATATATACCAGTGCAGGCTGGTACAAATTCAGGTTAGTTTTCGAAGAAGCCATGAGAGAACCACGACTGCATGGAAATGGATGGAGACATGCCTGTGAGGACCACCACCACGTTAGCAATGCAACGATCATCGAGGGTGAATCCAGTCGAGAACTTGATAGTGAGTGGATTCTCAGCTAACAATAAGGATTGATGCAGACAATATTCTCTCACTTAGCCCTCACAAGACACTAGGCCTGTGATCTCTGAACACTTATATGCGGTAAAAGTTGGTCAGTAAACGCGGAATTCCCAGCCGATTTTATTTTTTGAATTATACAAAAAAATCCACACTCATGGTTAATGGAATAAGCTTTTTGGGGATTTCGATCTTCAATCGCTGCTCTTGGCAACATAAGGATGAGAAGTGATAACGGTAGTTTACCTTATGTGATCCATTTACAAGTAACGAATGTTTGTGGGCAAGTGCAGCAGCGCTATGACCAAGTGTGTGAGTTTTCCCAATCATATGAATTTCAGGCGATGAGCCAGTCATCTGGAAGAATATATACTCTACGACACCAAATTTATGAACAAAGACAACGAATCAGTAGGTGGCTTCTGAGTTTTTCAAGAAATAAAAAACTAGGTTCTAGGATGAAAAATTTCTCAGTACTTATTACTGGAAGTAATGAAGTAATAAGACTTCCAGTAATAAGTACTGAGAGACTGATGATCCGAATATTAGCGCCTTAAGCAACAGCATCTACTCGTGCTAGTAAGGCTGTCAACTTTTGCTTCATCCAACGGTTGCTTCAAAGGATGATTATTGGTAGTCTGAATGCCGAGAAAACTGGTTATTCCAACGATTTTAGAAGACTCACGGCCCATTAACCAGCTCAGTTCCCTGACATTTTGGGTGTGTAGTTGGCGGCACCACGGACCCTATACGACGTATAAACAAATTACCGAATCCGCCAGGCGCCGGTTTCTCAAAGCGACAACACTTCGATGTTCCCGTTCACGATCCGGAGCAACATGCTCAGCACTACTGTTATGCTCAGCAGGCAGTACGGTCTGCAAAGAAGCTTAGTCCAAAGACTGTCATTATAAAATGTTTTTGTATTATGCAGAGTTGAGTATTTCTATTTTGCCGCTTCATAACAGGACAAAAGAACATATGCATTTATCTTTGTTTTTGAGCATGAACGAGTATGTGCTGTATACATGTGTTTGTGTGTGCGTTTGTTTGTACGCATATGTACATGTGTTTACGCATATATGCATTTACATATGTACGTGTGTTTGCGCCGAACAGGACGTAATCTATTATTAGCAAGTTCCTTTTCGGACGTATTCGAAAAACTAGCTGAAAACGATTTTTATGCGTTTTTGCTGTGCAGCGCTATAGCAGCGCTATAGCGCTGCTACAGCCAGCAA